GACCAAATGGGCAACAGTCTAAAAGATTTACTTCTGAACTTTACAGGAAGTTTGCTGGCTCCTGAATTAGACAAATACTATAACTCACTGGCTACTAGATTTGAGCATTTGGATAGTCTGGGAAGAAATGATGGTGAGTTTGGAAAAATGTGATATATTTTATTTTGTTGTTAAAAAATGAGGTGTACAAGAGAAAAACAAGTGTAGCTTGGCCTTTGACTAGATCAACAATGCTTCCAAACAAGTTTAAAAATAATACTAATATTAACATTTGTTAAATGTTTACCTTTTGCTCTACATGCAGTGTCTCCTTTAATAAAAACTTTAATAATAACCAAGGTATTATTATAGTTCTTTTACATGTGAGTAAAGTGTGATTTATATAGATTAGGAAACAGCAAAATTTACCTAGTAATCTACCTAGGAAGCGACGTGACGTGACTCATACTTAATTTAAAGTCTGTTGAATTCCAGAGCTAACTCTTAACAACCTGGTAAAATTGTTGTACTTTGGTCCTGAATACTGAAGTAGCTTATCAATACGCATTACCAATACTAGGAAATACATTCAAATTGAATGTCCCACTGAGAAGTTCATGGAAACATTTTTTTTAAAAAAGGTATGCATATGTATTTATTTATTTGCATTGCAAGCATTTTCCCTGATAAGAAGGAAAAATGGCTAGGAGCATAGTTCATATAGGAAGATTCATTAACTGGCTTTATACAACCAGTTGTCTACTGTCACTGAGAACAGAAAAAAGAATATAAAATCATGGTAACTCATCAGCAGTGTAACTCTGCTTTGCCATCTACCAGTTGCGCTCTCTTAGCCAAAACTGTTAAACTGTCTGAGCTTCAGACTCTTCATCATTAAAACAAGACTAAGAAATTTGCATTCCAATGTTCACAGCAGCACTATTTATAATAGCCAAGAAATATAAACAACCTGTCTATCAACAGATAAATGAATAAAGAAAATGTGATAGATAGATAGATTATAGATAGATAGATAATAGATAGATAGATACACACACACACACACACACACACACACACACACACACACAATGGAATATTACTGAGTCTTAAAAAAAGAATGAAAATTTTGCCATTTGCAACAACACTGATTGACCTGGAGGGTATTATGCTTAGTGAAATAAGTCAGACAGAAAAAGACAAATACTGTATTTTTCACTTATATGTGGAATCTAAAAAATAAAACAAAGGAATGAACATAACAATACAGAAACAGACTTACGGGTATAGAGAACAAATTCGTGGTTACCAGTTGGGAGAGGGTGAGGGGGAAAGGGCAAGATAGGTGAAGGGAATGAAGAGGTACAACTACTAGGTGTAGCATAAATAAGTAACAAGTATAGCACAGGGAATATAGTCAATGTTTTATAGTAACTTGTATGGAATATACTCTACAAAAATATCAAATTACTATGTTGTATAACTGAAACCAATATTGTAAGTCAACTGTACTTCAACTTAAAAAAAAAGAAATTTGCTGTAAGGATCTAATGGATTGTAATACAAAAATGCACAGAATGTAGTAGTTAAACAATAAATGGTTAGTTATAAAATACATTGGTTATATAGGAAAACTGCTTTTCTTGCAGTTGTGTTTATCAACAAATTAACTCATAAAAAAATTAACTTATGGTTTAAAGGTATTGCAAAATAACATGTTTTCATTTCTCTAAGATGTATAGGTCCGGTTTTTGTGTCTGAGTAGGTAGATTCTATGAAAGCAGAAATCAATAATATCTTGGGGTCTTTTCACTTCTAATACCTAAAAATTAGCATTATCAGTTTCCTGGACAGAAATGAAGGTCCAGAGCTAACCTCAGACACAGAGGATGTCAGGCATGCTTACCCTCAGCTCCCACCTAGTCAGTCTGCCTGATGCAGACACTGTCTACCCAATACTCTCAAGGGCCCTTGTCACTGACCTCACCCTTTTCCAGAAGCCCAGTTCTGTGGACTTTTCCACTCATTTACTACTATTTATTAGAAAATAAAATAGCATGCAGAAAATTAGAGTTTTATGGCAAAGATGTCACCTTAGTTAAGCAAGATCTTGAAACAAGTAAAAACTGAGGGTGTTCTATCACTAACAAATTTGTGCCAATTATGTATGTTATGCACGTATACAGTAAAAAAAATTCTGGCTTTGTAGTTATTCTTTCAAACCTATTTTAAATTCAACAAAAAGGCCATTTTCCAAATGACACTAATAGTTTTTGTTGCCTATTCTATTTTTTTTTTAATGGAGGTACTGGGGATTGAACCCATGATCACATGCATGCTAAGCATGTGCTCTACCACTGAGCTATTTTCCTCCCTCCTATCCTACTATTAAAGGCAAGCAACTTACTGCTCTATTATTGGTAGGATTCTTCCTCTTCACTAACATTTACTAATTATTTACTATGTGCTATGTACACATCTTAATTAATATTCATTAAAACTGCATGAAGTGGCTACTAAGTATCTGTGGAAACAGGCTTAGAAACCCTAAGTTACTCAAAGTCTAAAAACTAGTAAGAGGTGGAAATGGAATTCAGAGAAAACCCTTTCTAATACTAAAGTGTGCTATCATACCTTAGGGGATTATATTTGCATTTCAAATTGTGGTCATTTGGGATAGTGTGTTCTTCGCTTGCAAATAACTATTATTGTAGTCAGTGTGTGAAGGTTTAGAAAATATAAAAAGGCCTGTTAGGCTGACAGAGGGACAAAAGGGCTAATGTATTTATGACTTATATTTATTTCATTAGATATGCAAAACAAAATATGGTTTTAGGATGAGATTCTTATGACAAATTCTTTTGTACACTGACAAATCTTTGGTATAAAAATGTCATATGAAGTGAGACTTGTTAAAAGTAAGCCAAAAAAAGTTATATCTAATAGACCTGTTCTGTTTCTACAAGGCAAAAAATACCATCAAATTTGACTTTCTGAAGCGGGAGAGGGTGAGTTCAGTGGTAGAGCACGTGCTTAATGTGCACAAGGTCCTGGGTTCAATCCCCAATACCTCCATCTAAAAAAAATAAAGAAGGAGGAGGGTGCTTTTCAGTGGTCTGTTGAATTTCTATAGGAACTCAGGTACAATTGAGTGTGACTCTTGTCTTCTGTAAGCCCAAACTCTTCCTTTACACAATTATTCCTCATTTCGTGAAGCCAATATGTCTGTCCCTCAGCCTCATTTACCTTAAGCTTTGAAACAAAAATAAATCTAACACCAACCAATACTTGTGGTTAATATCGTTGATAAAACCAAGTTATATAAAAATTCTGTCTTTCCCGAGCACATATACATTTTAAGTCTGTTAACCCTGATTTACAACAAAAGACTTTTAACTTTTCTTCTGGGAAAGAATTTTGTTTTACGTTATAAGGAAACAGGACATACTTCAGAGAGGAGAATAAGCCATGTTATTCCTCCAGTTACTCATTTTAGAACAAGACAAGTGGATATGACCATGCAGAAACCCTGCCGTGAGGAATGACCCAGGCACTATCTAGACCTCTATCTTCAGAGTGATGCATGGTGGTGGAACCCGTTCACTCCTGCAACTGGTGTCTACACCGCACAGCCCTGGCACCTGTCCCTTCCCTGCAGCTTTCCTTTCTAACTCTTTCTCTTAACCCAACCACACATCTTTAGGTAATAAGAAGCCCAGGTATACAGATTAAGTTCTTTGGTTCATTTGATAATTTTTTAAATGGTATGACAATTTATAATATGTTATGATTGATTTCCATGTTTTCTATTTACAGTTGCTTATGAGGGTTATAGTGAATAAATATAGCAGCAGCCTAGACAGGTACACAGTCTTTATCAATAGTGTCATTATTTCTGTCCCATCTACTAAGCAACGCTGCTTCTAAGAATAGTCATCCCAAAAATCAAATTACGACTTATTTCCTGGATGTAGGTTTTAATATATGGCAAAAATAAGATTTCTATTTCATGCTGAAGTGTCACTTTGAACTTCATACTTAGAGATGAGTTATTAAAACAGATCAAATTATTATCTTTCATAAATCATAACCAAAAAGTTATAACCAACCTCAAGGAGATTAGCCTGACATACATAAAATACAGAACTGTGGGCTAGATGTGACAGTCACATTGTACCCTATGAGGTCAGAGTATAATTCCCCACAGTAATTATTTTCTCGTCCTATTCTGAGACAGGATAATTGATTTAATATTTCCAATCAATACGCATTTGTTTCTGTTTTTTCTGATTGTGGATTTTTTTAAGAGAATTCAGATTGCTATTTAGCTCAATGGTGCAAATCTTTGCATATTAAATGAAAAGCAAAATACTTTGATAAATTAAAAGTGACAAAAGTTTAATTTTACCACTTAGAAACTTGGAAATAATTGTGAAGTATATTCCCAAAAATATCTCTGTGTCCTTCCTTTCTAAAAGATGAAGCATCTTTGCTTCTTTATCTGATTCCAATTTCTCCCTCTTCAATCCATGCCACCTCCTTAGGCCCTTGATCAAACAAGTCCATTTCTCAATTCATTATCTTTCTCCCCACCACCCTGCTACCTCCCAACATCTGTCAAACAGAATGCTAGGGTCTCTCTAGGTGCTAAGAAAACAGACAATCTTACTGTTACCTTAATGCCCTCCTTTCTTTATCAAGAATAAATATTAGTCCCAAGTTCATTATCTTCACTTCCTTGCCTTACATTTCCATCTCAATCCTCAGAAATCTATATGGGTACGTTATCCTGGCATTGTTTCCCCTAAGATCATCAATTATTTCCAAATGGTCGAGTCCACTGAAGCTTTTCCTTGGTTGACTTCTCTTTGACTGTAATACCAGGCATGGTCTTCTCCATTAATAACACTTCCTCTCTTCATGTCCATGAAAAGGCTTTTTTCACTTCTGCTACCTTTCGATCATTTTCTGGTTCTCTACCAGTATCTTTTCCTCTAACTCTTCCATGGATTCACATCACCTGTATACAGGTGGTTCTCTTTCTTTTGAGCCCCAAACATTTGTTTCCACATTTATACTTACCTATCTACTTGGATAAAAAATAGACCACTCAGTCTCAGCATAGATAATCTCATCACATATACAAAACCAGTTCGTTTTCTTCAAATATTCTTTGTGAAATAAAAAAGCTGAGAATTATTCTCCAGTCCTCTCTCCCTCACCGTCAGTCAAAAAGCTCTCAACTAAATATTCTCAGTCTCTTTCCACACTGCTCTGTTATCACCACTCAATTTCAGTCCATCAAAATGTCTTGATTTACATTTCCTTCAGCCTCCAATATCACCTCTCCCTCCTTTCTTTACTACCTGCAAATTCTTTATCCATTCCTAAACTTGATACTTATTTTAACACATCATTGTCTCCCCTGTTATCCTCATGGTAAAATAAAAATTGCTTAACATGCCTGTTTCAATCCAACTCTCCTCTCACTTCCCAGTATGAAAGGTCATGTACCTTTTCCCAGATGAATGTCAGTTTCTCAGGGCTCTCTGCTTTTCTACATTTTCTGTTGGGACAACCTTCTTTCTCTGAATAATTATTCTTTATTACTTGGGCTCATAAAAAAAATACCATATGTAAAAACCTATCTCTGTACTCCTCCTTGTATAACACAACCAATATTACAGCACTCAGTATACAATGTTATATTTTTTGATATTCTTATTAATCTCCTTCATGGAAATTTTTGGGGACATGAAATGTCTTATTCTTTGTGTCCACTATGCCTCATAGCTTTAGTTAATCTGAAACATTTATGGAGAAAGAAGCTTTTAGTCTGTAATAAAATCAGATAAATCACAAATCACAAATTAATGTATGAATAATAAAACCATAATGTCATTTATCATCCAATATATCAAAACTCAATTATTACTGTCAAATATTTACTCTTTGAAGAAGAAGTTTGAAACCTCACACATTTATGGGCAGGATATTTTTCAGCCTTTAAAGAGGGCATACTCTTTAGTAAGCTCCTTAGATGAGGCCAAGGGCAACAACAGAAAAGGAAAGAATTCCCAGAAAGAAAAGCTAAGAGCCGTGGAAAACAATGGACTGGAGAGCTGGAGCAGATGCAGAACTGTGTCCTAAACAAGGAATATTTCCTATCTCCAGGG